GAACTTCGAGCGCACTCGCCATTTCCGCACATTTTTCTTTGTTCGATATGGATATCCATTGCCAAAAAAGGGAGAAGGACCACTTTATTGACGTTTCGAAAACATATCTGTAAAACATATCTGTCATCGTAATACATTATATATTTCAGACAAGAAGTTTTCATAGTGATTGGTAACAACCACTTGTTTTAATATAATAGTCATTTTCATAAAAATAACAAGATTTCTTACTCAGTTTCCTGATAGAGTATAAAACACTGCAAATTTTGATATAAGGGTCTAGTATATGAAAAAAACACGCTTGTAATTTCTTTTCAAAACATGAATGACTAAAATATAATCTCTGGATTGTGTTAATGTGTTTATAAGTTAAACAAAACATATAATATCAAAAAATGCTCTTTGGTTGCTATTTGTTTTAAATTTTATTTAATGTTTTTTCTAAAAAAATGCTTTGCAATTAATATATCACAATATTTTTAAAAATATCACCGAGAAAAATATGAAGGGAAAAGACATGAATTAAATAATAAACTATATATTTTTGAACTATTTCGTCATCCTTATCTTTAAAAAATCATTAACATGAACATTAGAAAAAAATGAGCCAAAATTATCAGGATTGATAAATTTTATTAGTGCGAACAAACAAATTATTTATTTAATGAGCTGAAATCAAGAGGATTGATATTTTTTTTTTAATTTTAATTTTGTATGATTTTTATCGTGAACAATTAGTTTACAGAAAGGGCGTAATAACACTGACGTGTGAATTCTAGAAGGTGAGTCCACTGTTTTTTTTATAATACACATTACATTAATATTTTAAAAATTGATCGTTCATCACCGTACTTCCGTACTCGGGCACGAAATACGAAGAAATATAAATAGAAATATTCATAATTTTTTATTCATTATGGATTCTAAATAATTCCTATTGAAAGTCACTCTTATTTACCACCCGTCTGGAAAATACCTCTGTCCTGGAATGAACCAGCAAGAAACCCAGCAGGACTTTTTGTTAAAAGAACAGTTTACTATCATAATTGTTATTGGACCCCTACTGCAAAAAAATATGTTGCTTCAGAAAAATGACTTTATATTAACCGCCACCGAGAACGTGATAAATCGGCGTTTGAAATTACTGTAATCAATTTCAGTGGATGCGACATCAGGATTTCAACTCAATTGCTTGCGTTCTTTTGTCGCTGTATATACTGCTTATAAACTACATACAGCGGATACCATTTTGATTTTTCTTATTCTGTATTTGAACTTGTATATATTGTTTGAGAACGATCAATAAAAATTATAATATCAGTTTCATTCTTATCTATTGGACTAGGTACGTGTTACGTTAGGTTTATCTCGTAGCGCTCTTGTGATGGGGTAAATTCAGGCTTAAGAGAATGTAAATCCATTGCTCTATTTTGTTCTGTAGGTATCGTATGAGGCAACTCTATTGAAAATGTCGTAAATATCTTATGGATCGCGATAGATGGCGATATAGGTAACGTTCTCTTTATGTCAGACGTAAAATGAATCACACCAGATCCACAATGGGAAGCAACGTCAAAGTGCGATACGTCTGGTACTACGAAGGAGTTCTGTTTCGCCTGCGAAGCGTGAAGATAAACGGAAATACTTCATTATAATGGATTTCTGGAAAGTAATGCCTGGTTCTATCAATTAAATCCTCTTAGACTGATGAAGAAGCATGACATTATCTATATGTAAGCAATCTGGATAGAACATATTATTATAATTTAATAAGCCCTCGTTTTATTAGTAAATAACACTACCGTATTTAATTACATTTGTAAAAATTCTCATAATTAAACTTAGGTGGAGAATTTTTATAATAAATTATAGAACTTTGGTTTGTGGAACGAATACCTTTTTTTGGTACGAATAAGCATTGTAAACATAATTACCTGGGTTACCGGAATTTGTTCGGCGGTAAAATACAAAAATGTTTTCGGGGACAAAGTTTATTTAGAAAACTTGGAAAGTAAAGCGTTATATAAATACAAAATTTCAGAAGTAGAACAACGAATGCTAAATGGCTAATAGAAGAAAACTACTATCCAAATAATCTATAATTAATATAGGGCCATTAAATATGTAGCTACTCTGAAATATGGCCAAACATATACATAAAGCGGGAGTGGGCTAAATATCTAACTTCTTACGTATATCAAATTCATTATTACCATTCATTCATCCATCAATTATAGTCTAAAAATAGTCTAGTATGTCAATTGGCTTACCATTAACCTATCCATCAATTACAGCCTAAAAACGTCTACTGTAAAATATAGGAAGTCTCCCCCGCAAAAATTTTCTTTTAAGGGAGATTTTACCATAGTTGACATACCTGACAACCGGTTTGGTTGACTTATATTACTGTTATATACTAGACAACTTACTTTTTACTGCGTTAACATCATTATAATAAATAAAGCATCTGTAACGTATCCCACATCAATCAATAATAATTAAACAAAAGTCACGCACAAACCAAAAAAAAAACAACCCATGCCTGCGTGGCCCCCCTTATCCTTCTTTTTTTCTCTCCTTCCCCTCGCTCCCCCCCCCCCCCCCAACACCCCCCCCCCCCCCCCCGTAACTAACCCCTGCAAAAACAAACACCCAACCACCACGTAGGAAGCCCTCCCTCACCCCCCTCCTTAATTCATTCACGCGGCCACCGTTTTCTTGCCCCAGCGCCACCCCCTCCCCACCCAACCTCACCCCCCCCCCCCCGCACCCCCCCCCCCCCCCCCATCTTCCATACAGGATGATAATGACTAGCGTAAACGTAAATCTAGAGGAATTAACTCTATAAGAATAAACTATAGTAGAAAATAAAACAGCAACGTTTTTATTCAATATATATTAAAAATAATACTTATTGAAAGTTACTTTTTAAAAAGGAAAGGAGCATTTTTTATGTGAAAATAGACCAGTTTACAATCATTTAATATGTTACACAATGTCGGGTATCTCATAATATTTATGTGCTTCAAGCATAAGCTTATTCTATGCTGGCCCAGGAGGTCATAAAAGTTTAATCGCTATCGATCTGTAAAGGTTTAGACATTCGCCGTAAACGTTACGGAACAGACAGGAGAACGTTGTACCCTATATACGTACATTTTATTATGCCAAAGTAAAAGAAGAAAATAGTTTAATAAGCACCTCCCTCGCATAATCGCGTGCACTATTATCTATTCACTGCCACCAATAAAGCTAATGCTTTATATATGCTAATAACACGCAACATCATTATTTCCAGTTCTAAGATATAATAGTATCGTGTGTAGTAGCCAAATGTATAGCTAATACAACCGTCGAACTTCTAAACAAAGCAGCTTCATGAGACGGAGGAATAGGCTCTGCAGTGGCTAAGCGCGAAGTAACCCGTTTACAGACAAATCTTAGCAAAATCAAACAATATGGGAATACAATCATCGCTTATTAAATTCAGTAAAAAAATTAATAAATTTTAATTTGAAAGGCGAACAAGCACTCACTGTTTCATCTTAGTTACGTTTTATGAACTTTTCTTATTGTACGGCGAGTTCTTGAATGGTGGTTCTACTGACAAGCGCAGTGTTGGGAAAACCGCTAAGTAAAGAAACTTAATATTATAGGGCCATTGTTGCAGGTTTATACACGCTGCAGCTATATATTATGGTTATAGCACGAATGGGTCGACTCGACCGGGGTAGGATCATGCTCTCACAGAATACCAGCGTAAAATTACAGCTTAATGCTGCTTTCTTTTGTATGGTGAGTATAAAGAACCGAAGACCCCTTTTTACAGGAAACGGGGCATTCCATCATAGACCTCAGGGGTTACAACGCATCTGCATTTTGATTCTTGATCAAGAATAAATGTAGATGCCTATGGGCCATAGCATCCTTATACTATCAGGTAGAAATGTGTGCTCGTTTATCACTTTTATTCTATAAAAAAATAGTGGGTAAGACCGTGGTTATTACAATTTATTAGGAAAGCCTATATTCAGCTATTCAGCGAAGAATTACTAATGAGCTGTAATGATGATAATGATAATGCTAAATTAAGCTTCTAAAATAAACCACATCAACTTGAACTGAAAAGAAAACTACGAAAGCAAATTTTAACGGTACGGAAATTGTAATATATATACATATATATGTACCGTAATATATATATATATAAATCATATAGCTTCGAGCAATTCGATGCATAATTAAAACTACGGATTGTACAGTCATTTAATATTAACAATAACATGCGCTATTCATTTTAACTTTGTTGGCTGGCTACGTTTCAACTAGCATTATAATAATAAATAAACTGCTCACCAAACTCAAACTAATTTTACTACTTGTAGTTTAATTTCTGCATATAAAATGAAAGTAAAATTTGATTGTTTGAGTATAAAACTTTGAAACTGATTTAACTTTTTAAAATCAAATAGATCCTAAATAATATTAAATATATATAAGTAAAGATTCACATTAAAATTTCACGAACGCACATCGCGGCAATACTCCCGATACCATCCACACCATATGGATGCTTGGCGATCCACCACTGTATGTGTCACTAGGAATTTTTTTCCGCGTGTGACCTCTCGATACGACCTCTCGATACGATTCAGGGACCTTCAAGAAAAGAGCTTACTCCTTTCTAAAAGGCCGGCAACGCACCTGCAATTTCCCTGGTGTTGCAGTTGTTCACGTGCGGCGGTAGTCACTTACCATCAGGTGAGCCGCATGCTCGTTTGTCCCCTCTATTATAAAAACAAATATATTTTAATTATGTAAAACATTTTAGTTGTTTCAAAACAGTAAATTAATAGTATCTAATAATGCTGTGTAGCATCACTAGTACGATACTTTGTCCATATATATGTTGCATATAAATTTCTTTCCTTAACTTATATCACACATGGTTCGAGCGGATATCGATGCTTGTGATTCTGTTGAACTGTGTGACGCTGGGAATGTATCAGCCATGCGTGGACGATCAGTGTGTTACGAACAGATGCAAAATATTACAGGTAACGCAACCTACATTAAAATAGTTAGTTTATAGATTCTCTAAATGTCTCCTATTATTTATTATAGCCTATAAAAGTCCAGTACTGAACATTAGCCATAGTGTGACTCATAGGGGGTATTTTGCCATAATTGCCACGCCTGACAGACGGGTTGGCAACCGCCGTATTTATAATTCTGAGTTGTTACAGGAAGAAGCGTCTGCCCATTCCCTGTCACAGTTTCTCTCTGTCGCCTGTTACGACACCCGCGGAAAGTTATGGAGTAGTTGATATTCTTCCATAGCCACTACACGTTGCTAATTTAAATATTTAAGGTTATTCAAATAGTAAGTTGTGATCTTGATATTGTTATTCGAGCAAATATATTCCAAAGCTTCACATTACCATCTGAGGGTGCTAATTGCTCTAGATGTGTATTTACTAGATAATAAGTCTTCTTTGCTGCCTAATACTCTGTCTGGGATTGGTACCAACCATCCCTTGACCTGTTTCAGTCGTCCAATACCAGTACACTAACGTCTATGTTCCAGTTTGGAGGATAATAGCGCCAGCCTATTTACAGTCTGTGGCTTTGCATCATGTCCTCAAGAAATTACAACACATTTGTTGTCTTCTATATTTGAATTAGGTTGAAGTCATCGATATATATGTACTACGCACTAGATTCCGAACAATCACTATGTTCAACTGAACTGTACTGGAATCCGTACACCTGTTATTGTGGCTTCGATATTCATGCAGTACGGAGCGGCGCTAATAACAATTTTATATTAATTTAGCACATATGCAAAATAAACTAAAATTAAAAAAATGTACAAGATTAACAATACAATCTAAATAAACTATTATTTATTATGACAATTTTCGCGCGTTTATATCAACAGCGCATGCGCAACTCTTCTTAGCTTCTCTAGTACGTAATACATATAACTCAACTCAACTATTAGTTGAAGTATCCATAAGCTGCAAGAACGCCTTATCATAAAGTTGACTGCAGTTTTTTTTTTGTCTCTCTAATTTTATAAAAATGTCTTCATTTTCACTTTGTAACATGTGCCATATATATCTGAATTCGTATACGAAAAGATTAGAGAAAGGAAGATTGCGATTACTCGCGAGTCGACTTATGTGGCTCCGACAGAATGTCAGCGCCGCGGTACTTTGTTACTGTACCATTATGCTGAGTTGGCGACCTTTTTGCTGCCGCAATCCATTTTTTTAAATTTTGTTGAGTTCTTTGTTTTATTTCTAAAATTAATGTTATATATGTTTTTTCTTTTTACCTTTTATAAAAAATTGTGTTGAAGGACATTATAATTCTATGAAGTTATGCACAAAGCTTAGCTGATGCAATCCTGAAATATAACCCAAAACTTTGTTAAGATAATTAGATATTTTTTTCAGAAACAGACTTCTTTAAACTAATTTATTAAGAAATTTAAAATTAAAATCTCTTTTCTTTGTTGGCCACGCAAATCGATATTTACTCAAAAACATTCACATCAAAAACATTTAATATCCATTTCCTTTTTAGGTCTTTGACGATATTATATTCGCGTTTTTTACGATAGAATTGACAATTAAAATGGTTGCAATGGGTGTTTATGGTCACGGTACCTACCTTGCTGACTCTTGGAATCGACTAGATTTTTTCATTGTGATGGCAGGGTAAGTTGATTTAATTTTTAAATTTTCTAATATCAAAGTGAAATCATGGTTAAGAAAAATGTAGCGGACACTTCCTTATCCTACAACCATCTCATAAATGAGGGGAGGCTTGTGCCCAGCAGTGGGACGTATATAGGCTGTAACTTTACTTTACTTTTACTTTACATCCATGACATCAGGACTTCAAACATGATGTTGTTTCCATTAAATACGAGTAAGGTTCGCTTAAAATATATTTTGAAACATTATTAAATACCTACTTCAAGGAAATTTTCTCATAATTTTACCAAGAAGTTTGCTCATTATATTTTTTATCCTCCAAGAATTTGTTAACGACCTTAAGCTGTTAGTATAGGTGACGTAGTAGGTGAGTTAGTAGGCAAAGGCACCTAAGTGCAGATAATATTTTTATATAGATAAATAGTTACTTACTCATTTTTTTAACATTATGACAAAAGTAAAGAACATTTTATATTAACTTTTTATTATTCGCAGATAATAAAAAAACAAAGAGACATATAACGGCACGAAATATTATTCATGTTAAACGGTCAAAAAATTATTAATTTGTAACAAAAACGTGAATAGAAATCGAAATCGAATTGTAATGGGTGGTATTTGTGGCCTTGCTGTCTCGCATTTAATATGTTTTTCTTTTTTTAGAGCTGTAGAATATACGCTAAACGTGGAAAATATCAATTTTTCGGCAATAAGGACAATTCGAGTATTACGACCTCTTAGAGCCATCAACCGGATACCGAGTAAGTATTATGAAATCATTATGTTATTAAATTCTTATTTAAAAGTTTACCAATTATATAAAACCAACAAGTAATATCCTAAAAGAACTTAATCTTTGTTTATTTATTTACATTTTTACAAAGAAATCTCAAGCTAAAGTATCAAAGCTAATCCGATATTTTATAACATTATAACGTAAGTCGTTGAACCAATAATAAAGTAAATTTGCCATTAAAAAGGCTCGTATCTGTGGAGTACTTTTAGAAATTAACCCGGAGCGGGAATCCAGAGCGGGCGTGGGGTGAAGATCGATCGGCGAGCAACAAGTAAACCCGGCCGCAGCCTCCGACAAACACACGGCCACCCTTACCTTTCGGCGACATTATGAGAAAATTGATTCGAGAGTTTTAACTGAACCAATATTGAAATCCGATCTTAATTAAAAGTTAAAAACGTTGTAAAAATTTCTGTTCCGATGTTACTAATTGTTTTTTTTTTTAAATAATTGTGTCATAGCCTTCTACAATAGAAATTATATAATAGCAAAATATAGACAACAATCATATGGCAATATTATTCATACAAATATTTCTATAAAAAAGGGTCGCTTTTAAAATACTAGCAATGCACCCGCAATTACCCTGGTATTGTAGTTGTTCATGGGCGGCGGTTTACACTTAAAAGCATGCTCGTTTCTATAAAATGCTGCTTCTATAAAAAACATATATCTGTGACCGCCATCACTATGACTATTTCGACTTGACTATTTTCTAGGAAAAAAAGATTAAAAGATTCCATTAAATAAGAAATTATTATGTCCTAGCACTGAATGGAACAAAATATAGTCTGATTTTAATGAGACTTATTTTAAATTATAAGCAGGTGCTCCCACCTGGTGGTAAGTATTGATGGAGCCCTAAATGGAACAGCTCAATGACTACAAACTCCTTTCGATCTTGTCTGTAAAAACCCAGCCATTGGTTTGATTGACAAAGCAATTCTAATGCTCGATATATTAATTGTAATGATATATCAAACATTTGAAAATATAGCTGCCGCACAGCTGCGTCGGATTGCTTTTTCACCATCCCTAAAGTAACACCTCATTTCCGCTATCTTAAACGTAATGAAAATCCATTATGTAACATATCATTAAAAACGTTGTAAAATTACTATTCCAATGTACTAAATTTGTAGTTATCTGCCTCCCCATAGATTGTCTCATGTTGAGGATGGTTTCCAAAGTTGCCAAGCTGGGCAGGCAGTTTGACAACCGTTTTTTTTTTAATATATTGAGTTGTTTATGTAGAAGACGCTGTTACCTATCTCCTTTGTCACCTATGAAAAGTATTACCTACATATCAAATCATTTAAATTAGTTTACAATTGACGAAGATAACATGTAACATATATACAACAAAACATAAACCACGGCGTTACTGTTTTAAAGTTGGCTAAAAATCGGAATTATTGCAACAACTTAAAAGTGTAAAGTAAAAAAAAATGAAAGAAGATAAAAATTCATTTCATTCCTGGAGACTAACAGATAAAATTTGCCGGTTCTAGTATTAAATCGCGCGTACGTACCAAAAGACAGTTGCGCTCAAAAGTTTCATCTAAATCCCGACGGGGACTCGTAAATAACTGGAAAATGCAAGCACTACAAATTAAGTTGTGCCATACGCTTTGCGGTTAGGAATACATCTGTACTAATTTGCCCTACTGCAATTAATTGCTTTATATTTCTAGTATTTCATTACATGCATTTCAAATTTGATTACACAACATGTTTAAAGCTTATCCGTCATGTTTTATGTAATGTTGGAATATAAAAACAACAAAAACAAAAATTAGCTACACATCGTTGTTACAGATACAGCCTATTAAAGTCCACTGCTGAACATAGGCCTCCCACATACATTGCCTCATACCTGATGCCATAGTTGCCACGCTTGGCAAGCGGATTGGCAACCGCAGTTTTTATTTTTAGTCGTGATTAGGAAGACGCTACTGCCAATCTCCTGATTTGTTTCGCTTACTTACGACACAACATATCATATCTTATCACACACGACACACGCTAACTCAAACATTATCCAGTGACGAACTTAAGAGTTTCAGTATTCGGTGTTACTTATCAGCATAGCATGTTAATATTACTCAAAAATGCATGCGAAACTTCACAAAAAAAATTAAGATTGACTTCAAACATTCTCGGAAGTATCGGAAATCCCGGGGTTAATATTTTGCTAGGGTTATTTTTGAAAACAAGCAAAAATCTTCAAAACACCCTGAAAAAAAGTAAAATAAAAAATTAAATAAAATAAAAAAGTTTATACGGAACTCTCAGGACTCTCACTTATTACTACAGGTTTTCTCTTTCGGGTCTGGTTATAAAATACTTAGGAATACCACTTAGGGACCTTCAAGAAACGAGCTTACTCCTTTTTAAAAGCACGGCAACGCACCTGAAATTCTCCTGGTGTTACAGTTGCTCATAAATGGCGGTCGACCCTTAACATCGTGTGCTCGATTGCCCTCTCTTCTATAAAAAAAAAACATAATTTCTTATGTGAAATAATACAATGAACATAACAACAAAAATACTTCCTTTAATAAAACTTGAAGACACCTTCAAAGAAAAGTTAAAAATCACAAAATAATTTCCACATATTAGCTTTTGGAGTCGGTTCTTGGACATAGTGTACGAAAAACCTCTAAAACTAACATCCCACTTTTACATTTGTAATTTCTTTTCTATGTAACCACCGCTGATAAAAATGAATCAGTTCACACTTATAAAGAAAACTTGTAACATACGCACAAAAACATACAGTCGAATTAAAATCTTCTTCTCTTTCAAATCGGCTGAAATTTAGACATGCTAATTGGCGCGTTCTTAAAGGGGCTTACAATTTTGCAATGTATTCAAATATTTTGATAAAGTATCAAAATAATATTTGCATGTTCGAAGGAGAATATCTTTAATACTTTAATATGTTTGTAAAAGTGACCAAAATCAACTTCTAATTTTTATGTATTTTTTACAGGTATGCGAATACTCGTGATGTTACTTTTAGATACATTGCCTATGCTTGGTAATGTCTTGCTACTTTGTTTCTTTGTCTTCTTTATTTTCGGAATAGTCGGAGTTCAATTATGGGCAGGAATTCTAAGACAACGCTGCGAATTAGTCTTACCCCCGAACGTTATACGACCAAAGTGAGTATATGTGTTTTAACTATATGATAATAAGCGACAGGCCTTTACGTCTTAAATTATACTTAAAAAATGAATGTTTATTAAGCTGAACATTTCAAACAGTACCAGAGTTGTTTGATATATTAAGAGTTGTTATCACTATTTCATATGGAATCATTAATTCAAAAACGCTCGTTTTAGCGGCACGTTTCATTGCTAATGTTGACTGCATGCAATATTTAACGCTTATAGTCGTACATTCAAAGAGTACATACACGGCTGCTCCACATCTTTTTTATGTATATCGCTATACTTATACTATTATATCATATGTTATATATCATTGTTTTTAACATATTATGACCGCGCATGTTGGAATATGAACAGCTTACATACTTTACTAACAACACCCTTAAATATTGCATACTGTCAATTATTACATATGTTTGAGTTAAACAAAAACACGTACAAATAAACATTTAACATGTAGCAAATAATATGCATAAACAACGCAAAGATAAAACCCTGCTACATCAAATTTTTTAAAATAAGCATTCATGACATTACACGCAAGTCATATAAACATAGTAAGAATAAAATATATTTGTAGAATAGACCATTATTTTTCAACCTAAGAACTTAAAAGTAATGTCTAAAAATGTGGTCTCATTTAATACATTTTTAGAAATTACAACAATAACTACGTATTTGTTGGTGTTCGTAGTGATTTGGGATCGTAACACCCTATCATCACATCATGAATTTATGTTCCAGAGACCTGTCAGAATGGTACAGAGTGCGCGTCAGAGTGAACTCGTAAGGAATTGAGATCAGAATTAAGTGTTTATGTTAAAATATTAAGATCTGTTGTCTCGTGTACCTTCACACATCTGCCGTCCAGATGTGCTTTCATATCTGCTTTTCTTTCACGAACTGGCAGTTTCAAGTGTAACGTTAGGCTTAGCGGCAATATTAATCAGGTTTTACTTTTTATTGACTTGATCGAACTGCCAGTTTGTTCTAAAATATTCAAAGCATATGGGTAGCTCTATTTTTGTATTTGATTATATTCTTTTAATTCCGTTTGAGCACCGAAACTTTTTTAAAACTTTATATTATATATGTACCTCAACAAAGTTATAAATAAAATGAAACATGTAAATAATACCAAGAACCTTGCGTAGACTTCCTCCACACCATTGAACATAAAATATACAAATTTACACAATGTCGAAAAACTTAAACTGCAACAAACTCACTCCTTAATTTATGTTTAATAGTTATCATTTGTTTACACCACTAACACATTTTTATCAAATCTAAAAAAAATCAATTGAATCACATGTTTTTTTTGTGAATGAGCATTAGACATTTCATAAATACTTGAAAATAGAAGCTGAAGTTCACAATAAAACCCTTATAGCTATCATCAAGGGAACAAGACCCGTTACGGCCGGGATGCCCCAAATGTTGCGAGTAATGGCCAACGTTTGCGATCCGGCGCCCGTTCCGGTGCTATCGTTTAACGATAACGACAATAAAACCACCAGCTTCAATGTATCGTATTCGCTTACTCCCTCACTTTATTTCTAATGTCTGATCTGTTATTAATTTTAAAAAAATTGCCTTCGATTTGATGATGCGCATGTTAATATATCATTGCATGTGCTTCTGTGCTTGCATATTTTTAATTTATTACGTAATGTTGAAATTCGGTATACATCTTGTATTTGTTGTAGACCATGTGATTAATTCATAACGCCCGAACACTTTCAAAAATTTCCGCTTAATATGAAAGGGCAATGTGATATTAACTACAAAAAATTTTTTAACTAACCGGGCTTTATGCAAAATGGTTTTATCTATTAGACAGACTGATAGAAAAGATGTGTTTTATTAAATTATTTTAATGTGCGGCAATATTATTTTAATATTAATTAAATCAAAAATATAAATCAAACTCAATCTTAAGCATAGTCAGTTCTATGATTTTAAAACACAACATGCTAACAAAAAACAGTACTATTAAATAATGTATGTGATTATGATATGGTTATAAGATGAATAATTTTAAATAATTTATCCGACTATTAGGGCTCAGCCAGATATATATATATATATATATATATATATATATATATATATATATATATATATATATATATATATATATATATCATACAATAAAATTATTTCTTATACAATTAGTTACAATACTCGTAACTTTTGTGTCGCTGATATTACTTCGTATTTATTTGAACATAACCCAAAAAGCTTGGATAATTCTAAGTAAGCTCAAGCTTAGTTTATTGTATCTGCGTCCAGTCAAATACCTAAATCATCAAACTGCAACGCACGTATTAATAATCTTAATTAGCAATCAGATTACAAACGGAATTCATATATTTACCAATTACATGACTCATTAATCACTTGGTCTACAATATATTACAACAGTACCTATATACAAGCTTTCACCACTAAATTTTACCGTAGCTTTATTAGTTTTATAACACAATTCATATCATTAAAATTTCATATTTTGACAAAGTGCATGAACTAAATATATTTAAGAATAAAATCTCTTATTTGCTTTCAAATAATACTAGCTTCCATAGTCAACTAAACGTCAACAAAAAATTCATTCGTGTATTAATAAGTGCAATACGGATCACAATTGTAATCAAAATATTAATTGAAACTAAAACAATGTTTTCAAGCACACTCAAATTACAAATATAAAAATATATATAATAAGATCGTTTAAAGTAAACTTCCGTTTACCGTAGCGTAATTTGTGGGTTTTTTCTTCAATTTTGATCTTAGATATGTAATTTGTACGCAGCATTTCGTTTCACTACGAGTTCTCCAAAGAACTGGATTACATTTGCACGACACCTGAAGACAGTGGGATGCACCAGTGTGGCAACTTTCCTCCCTATCGCTATGGACCTCTTGTGTGCAATGAGACGGCGAAACCATTTTCTTACAATAAACCTACAAACACATCGTGTGTAAACTGGAATCAATACTATACGAATTGCACCGAAAGGGGATCTAATCCATTTCAAGGCACGATTTCCTTTGATAATATTGGCTTGGCTTGGGTGGCCATTTTTCTGGTAATTTGAAGTCATTACATCATTCACATTAATAATAATTTTAAAATAATTCCAAAATGTTTAATGCCATATTATTTCCAGGTTATATCGCTGGAAGGATGGACAGATATAATGTATTATGTACAAGATGCTCATAGTTTCTGGGATTGGATTTACTTCGTGCTTTTGATTGTGGTAAAGTTATTTGATATGCACTAAAATACGTATTTAAATTTTTATACAGGGTTATTTTGCAATAATCGGAAAAATTTGCAGATAAGCTTCAGAATAAGTAATATAGGCAATTGGTGAAAAAACATTTATTTAAAAAAATCTCAAACATTCTGTAAATTTTATCTTTTAAATTTAAAATGCGTCGTAATTCATAATTTAACTGCTTTGCATTTGCACGCACATATTCGTAAAGCTCGATCCGTAGGCAAAGTCATTGTTGCCCGTAAATGATATTCAATTTGCGATAATATCAAATAAAAGTAGAAGCCTTATTTTTTTTTTATAGGATAGGGTGACAAACGAGCACACAGTCCACCTGATGGTAAGTGGTTGCTGCGGCCCATAGACATCTACATCTATCTTCCATTACAAATCAAAATGCAGATGCGTTGTCACCCGTGAGGACTGAGATGGAATGCCTCATTTCCAGTAAAAAGGGTCTCCGGTTCTCTACACTCACCATACGAAATACAGCAGCATTAAGCTACTATTTCACGCTGGTATTCTGTGAGAGCGTGGTCCTTCCCCGGTCGAGCCGACCCATTCGTGCTACAACTATACTACAAATATAATTGCAGCATGGCTCTACCACGTAAGAATTACTCATATTTTCAAAACCTGTAATAACAGTATATTATTATTTATATATTATAACCTAATTTTAAAATTTGGCTACTCTTAAAAAATAAGCCTGTATACATATTGTATTATTCAGAAGATTATTTTTGTACATATAATAAAAACATTTCTAATTTTATATTACAGATCGGGTCCTTTTTTATGATTAACTTATGTTTGGTCGTCATAGCAACGCAATTTAGTGAAACGAAAAAACGTGAAATGGAACGTATGCGTGCTGAAAGGGCTCGGTTTACATCCTCTTCGACATTAGCTTCATCCACGAACAACAGCGAACCCGCGACATGCTATGCTGAAATAGTAAAGTATGTCGCTCATTTATGGAGAAGATTTAAAAGAAGAATGGCAAAAAAAATTAGGTAACTATATATCCTATAAATAAGGAATAAATTAATATGCGTTGAATTGTATCAAAATAATTATTCCTTTCTAATTTGTCTAATAGGGTTTATCGATACCAAAAAGCTCAATTACGTTGGCGTCAAAGCCGGGAAACTCTACAACTGCCCGCAAATAAACCTAAACATCACCCCTGCTGTCCACGTGTACATCCACAGGTATTATTATATAATACGACCTGTCAACAACACTTCTGTTGTTTATGGTATAATTATAGTATCTGTATAATTAGTATTAATCATTGGTAGAAAATGCAAACCAAATGCGTAGCAAAAAAACTTTAAAAATATTTTGTAAACAATGTTTAAATGTTATATCAAAAAAACTCAAACAAACACGATGAGTAAGTTAATTAAGTTTCCATTTTTTTAAGAATATTAACAATGCTATAAACATTACTAATATGGTAAGCTTACATTGCTTGTGTTACGAGTGGTTCACGCCAGTAGTCGAATGGCGGATTCGAACGCACGACCTTTTTGAGTTCTGGGTCCGCGCCCTGCCATTAGGCTACTGTCGCATTCATCCATTATAGCCTATAAAAGTTATATATATATATATATATATATATATATATATATATATATATATAAAAATATATAATCTATACCTATGTAGGCTATCGTCATGGGGGATTTTGGCATAGTTTTATTTTAACCCTCCGTCGCCTGTCGCCTCTGACGACACCCGCAGGACGATATGGGGTGGTGGATATTCTTATATCGCCACTACACGGCACAAAAGTTTTGCATCTAAATTTTATAATCTCGATAAAAACACGCAATAGACATTTCAAAATAATATTCATATAGTTTTATCATAGTTTATTAAATATGCACAAACTTAGTTGAACGAGAACTGTCATACAATATTTCTCAACGTAATATGTCTATATAACTGCCATGTCAACGAAAGCATTGTATTGAATTTGTGACAGGGGAATGGAGGCAAAGCGGGAGTCGACGAGGTGGGCGATGAGCCACTCAGCAGACCAAGCCTGTTGCGCGTACCCTCACTCTCAGCCGCCGATCTTGAGGTAATTTAATTTGTATATAAACACGTTCGCTTTGGGATTTTCTTTGAAAAACATATATTCACTTTCCAACACTAGTATTTTTAAATGTTTTAAATTTCCTTAAAAGATCGTGTGAATTAAATAAAATAATACTGCAATATAAGAAATATGTTGTGTTATATTTAAAATTAATTAAAATGGCTAGAAATTAAAAAACTCAAACAAAAAAGGCGTAATCGTATTATTTTATGTTTCATTATTACAATACCTGGCTTAATACTTATGATAATAATTAATTAAGAATGTTACAGTTACAGTCTATCAAAGTCCTCCGCTGTAAATAGGCCTCTCCCATAAATTGCTTCCGAAGGAGAAGATTTGCATTTGCTACGCTAGTCAGGCAGATTTTCAACCGCAGTTTGTATAATTTAGTTGTTATTCGGAAACGATACTGGTTTGTTTCTTCCTGTAGCCTTTTACGAAATCTACGGGACGATATGTGATAGTGTATTCTTACACCGCCGCTATACGGTTAATAATGACTTAATATTATTTAAATTATTTACCATATTTATAATTCACATCAAACGATACAATAATCGTATTCCATATCTTGACATGGGCCACATCTATTGACACCACATACTATGCTGTAACCATCGTAATATCAGATTTTAGTCCGTGTGATCGGCATGGATGTTTAGAGATAAAAAAAGAGTTATATCGTGTATATTACAACCATTTTTGTTTATCTGGACTTTCCCATAGTCTTCAGCTGTAATGAACAGATAAAAATGAGAGATATAGCATATAAGTTATACCAGCATCTATCGGATGAAATGTGATCTTTCTCACATTATTCATAGTTGCCTTTTTCACCCCTCGGGACGATGTAAGGTGATGAATTCTCTAAACTTAACAAATAATTAAAAATATAAGTAAAGTTAAATTATATTTTTTTACAGAATGCATCTAATCTTTCCCTGTTGTCACCACCATCTTTAGCTAGACGACGTTCGTCAGTAATGTTCAGTGATACAGTTCTGTTACATACTCCCACTAATCCAACGGCCCATCCACACAATGTATGCTCTTCAGAAAAAATGACACAAACAGGTAACTCGCAAATGTGTTGATTGTTTTATTTTTACAACGATACCGATCAAAAAACTATCATTGTCAGAAATTATAATCTCTTTCATAATAATGATGATAACTATCCAAAAAACAAAGCTAATACGTTCTGACCTTTTCGTATCTATTGATTCCTCGAATGCATATTCCTCGAGCGAATATAAAGGCCCGAAAATTTTGAAAGCGATAAGGAAGAAATTCATTTATGTATTCTTGAAAATGTACTTGACTTACTTGACGTACACTTATTAGCATAATAACTATCTGTGATATTTATTTAAACAAACCTCAAGGTTTACTTTCAACTAATTTGAGCACTCAATAAATACAAGCTTCAATTGTAACTAGATAAGCACAAATATTTCGTCAACTATTTATATTTATTACACAAAAATGAAATGTATATATAATAATTATAATTAGTTGATGTATATAATACTAAAATGATAATCTGAAGAACATTAATTTCATGCACATGTTCTGAATTAATTGTTGGAATAAATATTTGTAGATTCATTGTGTCAACGCGACTGGCTTAAAAGTCAAAGTGGTGAGTCTAGAGAGGTGTTAGTTCTAGACAAACTGTTAGCCGGGCATGTGTGAATTGACTATTTACTACTTTTTCTTAAGAATTTCTTTAAAGGAATTCAGCAATATATTTTAGGTTTTAGATTAGATATTTTAATGTGTTTTTCATTACTCCTTAATTTAAAATAGGATAGAGATATCCTTTCGCTTCATAGGCACTTTCAGAAATAATAAATATGCATATAATATATTATATTCTAGTGTATAGTGTTTGTAAAAAAAACATGTTTCTGGTTGTGCCTTAAATAATTTCGCGGTTGTTTCATAATGCAATCCCCTTTTGAACCCTGCACTGTAGTGAAATAATTTAATAATGTAGAGTTCGACCTGCCTGCAAGTGATACAGCCGACGATCGTGCAGCTGCAGGTGGCACGATGTCCTGTCAAGAACTTTTGGCATTATCTGGTGCACTATCGGCAGCTTTACCAACAGGACAAGTGGCTTTAGACTCGTTTTTCGAAGAATTAACTAAAGGAATTAGCAAAAGAGCTGGCGAAGAGAAGACGGACACCAAGGTATTGAATAAATTATAAGTCAATAAGTTAAAATATTCATATAAACAGAATTTAAATTGTGTTTTTTCCGCAGGTTGTGGAAATTGAAGACTTTTCTTGTTGTGCTGATTTAATAGCCGCAGATGCAGCAAAAAAGAAGACAAAGAGGGGACGCTTTTGTAATGCATTTTTAATAATCTGGAAACGTGTATCAAGAGTTTTGTCTCTGCTAAGGAAACAAATTAAAGCTGTCGTCAGTCACAAATACTTTCAACAAGGTAGTTTGAAACCACAATATTATAACAACTTTTACTTTCAAATTATTACCTTTTATTTTGTTTTAATCACAGGCATACTTCTGGCAATACTCATCAATACACTATCAATGGGCATTGAATATCACAATCAACCAGAAGAACTTACAGTAATTGTTGAAATTAGTAATGTCGTTTTCTCTGCGATTTTCGGCATTGAAATGGTGTTAAAGATAATTTCGGAAGGACCTTTTAAATATATTGCTAATGGCTTCAATGTATTTGATGGTATCATTGTTATTTTAAGGTAAGTTTTAGAATAAATGAACACTATTTAAGTAGATGAAATTCTGTGAACACAATTAATTTTATTATTATGTTAAATAGTGCATTTGAACTAGCACAAAGCTTTGGAAACGAAAAGGACATGGCAGGAAGTTCGGGTCTTTCGGTTTTGCGCACATTTCGACTTCTGCGCATTTTAAAACTTGTAAGATTTATGCCAAATCTACGACGTCAACTTTTCGTGATGTTAAGAACAATGGATAATGTTGCGGTTTTCTTCTCCTTACTTGTTTTATTTATATTCATATTCAGGTAATTATTTACTTGCTTATATTTTATACTTATATTTTAAAAGAACTAGGCAATTTTTTGACAAGTGTATATTTAAAATTATTAAGGTGTTATATTTTAAATAAGTCAAATAAAGAGGCTAAACTATTTTTAAACCAACCTATAAAATGCATGATAATAAATTGACGCTAAAATAACAGGGTTCATTTAACAATTTTCCAAAAAAAAATCTGCTAAGTCCCAACGGGCTTTTTTCCTTTACCTTCCTTTTTATTTAATATTCTTGTACAGCTTTTAAAGTTATCAAGTTAGAATCATTAAATTAGTATATAAATATTTCAACAAAATGAATCTTAACATAATAATATAGAATGTGAGAATCAATTGTTTTCAACAAGATAATGATGGACAAGTTACTTTCGACTTGTTTTTAACTTCACTCTTTCTCTTTCTTGCTCTATTGCAATAATGCCTGTATCTACTATTTTAACTGTAGCAATCAAGTAGTGATTTACTTTCCCAAGCAATTACTTACTCATTGCTTACTTAGGTTTTTTATTTTTCTATAGAAAAGAAGAATAATTCGACCCTTCGAATTTGTTCAATCAGAAATAGTTTCTACTTTACTATCACACTTGCATCCCTAAACCCGTGCACTATATAACTGTGAGTGAATTACCCTTTTTTCTTTTCTATCTTTTCCTTGTATATCATTCATTCTGTCTATAACATTTAACCCACTACACACTACCACTGTTCACACTATTTACAACTTTTTCTCTTCTATTATCTAAATTTATTGATTTTAGTAACTTTCACGCTTTTGTGCTTTTTCTCCACCTCCGTTTCTTTATACGTGCACTTTCCATTTTAGATTATACCTCACATTTTTTAGCATTATTGTACAGTTGTACATAATAACTATGTTATTTCCTCCCTTATGTACATTTGGAAAGGAATATAGTAAACGTATATTGTATTATCTAATCGTATATTGCGTGATAACGTTCAGCATCCTCGGTATGAACCTCTTCGGGTGCAAATTCTGCGAGAAAGATGAAGAGGGTGAACAAGAGTGCGACAGAAAAAACTTTGATACGCTCTTGTGGGCCTTTGTCACAGTGTTTCAGGTATTCAATATTTTAAATTAAAGTACCTAACAGACAACCCAAAAATCAAACTGAACTTGCTACATATTACTTAACGCTTTTACCTGTGAGCCCGTCAGCAATCAACACTCATGTACAAATTGACAATCCTTCTAACAGACGATTGTCCCATGACGGCTAATTGACTAACCACGCGAGTACACAAATGACTTTTCACTTTGCTGCAAGAGGTGCATTAAGTGATAAAAAAATTGTAACAATTAATTGGGCTCATATCTTAAAATACCTTGCAGGATTGTGTGATGTCAAACAGGCGTTCAGTCGCGTAACAGCTACCCTAGAACCCGAGTAGTAAACAAATCTAGAATCATCTGTAACAAACTGCTCCAAACTCATCTAGTTTAAAGTTCACCGTATTTTGTGCCGTAAAATACTCCCATCAGAAGTTGATAAAAGCACATTGTTTAGTAAGTGAGCTTGACTGAATTGTAGGATAGCTTGCGAACGAGAAAAGCCGATTCGCGGATAATTTCCCTTTCGTCAATCCTTCTAATCCCACTACTACAGCTATAATCGATTCAACAATTCACTCTTTGCATGCTGCTTCTAGAATCTGTTTAAATTTTAAACGAAACAAATGAAGTGTTCATTTTCGAGAAAAATGTACTCTTTGTACAACCGATGAAGTTCATTTCATTTTTTTCGTGAAAGTTCTCTATTACTATTTCATTTTTAACACATCTAAACTTATATTTCTGTATCTCCTCTTCTTATATTACGATATACAATGTTTGAAGGTTGCTGCCCGTTTTCTTCGCTCCTTTTTTCTTTCTTTTTTAAATTAAACATATACATTTTGTATTTATCTCCAGATATTATTTGATCGGAATGATTTTATAATAAATGAATTCTGGTACGAACCGAATGAAGACTTTGAAATCCTATTTTGCACTTTTCTTTTGCCTACTTTTTCTTTTTCGAATTATTTTCTGCATTTCACTATTTATGATAATGAGATCATAAAATATGAATGCATTTAATAATATTACCATTGGGGAATATGCTCTAAATAACATCACCTTTAAATAAACATATATAATTTACATTATTAACAAATCCGTTGGTAGCGTACCAATGGCGATAACACTGCTTAACTAATATGGCTTTTAAATGTTAGATAAAGAAAAATGCAACTTAACAAAAAATAAAGAATCGACTAGTTTTACGGTGTATGATATTCCTTGCACTTTCACTTCGTGAATGCTTTAGATTTGGAATACATAATTTAAATTTATTTCAATTTGATTCACTTTCCAAATAAATCAAAACATAGTTTGTTTTTATTGTAATATAATTTAATGTTGACTGCCTGTAACATTCCGCCTGTAACAAAGTAATATCTTAAGAAGGATAACTTAGGAAAAATGCAGTGTTAACGTCGAGTACGTAACAATCATCGTCTGATATATTCGGTCGCGGCGTATGGGCATAGCATTTTGTTTTTCTTTCATTTTTTCATCGGACCTGCGCGTCGTGCAGTATTCTTGGCATGTATCTATTCGGTGGTAAGTTTTGCAAGTACATCGAAGACAATGGCACCGAGCGTGATTGCACTTGCCCCGAGATCGTATCGCATCATCCCAAGTGTGAATGCGACAGAAAACATTTCAATAACATCCTTTGGGCCACAGTCACTGTATTCCAGGTAAGAAACAAGATAGAAGTGTTAAAGAAGGTACAAAAAAATCGGTTAATTTGCGATCCTTTCGATTGTGCTTTTAGTAAGTTTTCTAAATACGTGTTTCTCGTAATAGTAAAAAGCTTAAAAATTATCTAAAATAAAAACCATGTGAAAATTTTAGGTATGTATTTACGCATAACTGTCGAGAAGCATTATTTATTTGTAGATTTTGTATCCTTTGTAGCCTTTACATGAGCGCTCTGTAGTTTGTGCATCTTGCTGTTGATTGGTAATTAGCTCTAAAAAAACGCTGGACCCTTTTGCTTGTGTACTCCAAATCGCCGTCTGTGTTCCTTTTCATTATATAGTGTTTACTTATAACATATCTACACAACACCATCTAACACTAACATGGCTGTATTCACAAAATTGATTTTATTTTATTTTATTATGACAAAAAAACTATATTTTGTACAGACACTCAGGCACAACTTACAAATATGAAGAATTTTAAAAGCACACCCTGCTTATTTTAATGAATAAAAAAAATTGAAATTTATGTCGTGGTAGTTTATCAATAGCGTAGTATGATATATTTATTTCTGTGATAATTTCTCAGGTTTTAACACAAGAAGATTGGAATGTTGTATTATTCAACGGAATGGAAAAGACAAGTCACTGGGCAGCGCTATATTTTGTAGCATTAATGACATTTGGCAATTATGTTCTATTTAACCTACTTGTAGCCATTTTAGTGGAAGGTTTTAGTTCCGAAGTAAGTAAAAGTTGAGAAGAGACTTATAATTTTCACATTTAGGATACGAAATTTGATTAGTGACATATTTTTATTTTCTACGTTGATTAAGTAAACAGTTAAAGGAAACACTGAAAGATATCTAAAATTTGAGTGCTTTGAAACTTGTTGAGTTTATTTATAGCTTAACCTAGAAATAAAATTAATAAAAGTTACGAACCAAATAACAAAATTAAAAAACGAGATAATAGAAATCATAATAAGATATTATATATATATATATATATATATATATATATATATATATATATATATATATATATATATATATATATATATATATATATATTAGAGCTGTGTTATAATATATAATAGGTATATATATTATATATTATAACACAGCTCTAAATTTATTCAAATATATTTAAATTTAATACTGGTTAAATCTATATTAAATCATTGTAAAACTTTTAGCGCAACGAAAGAAGGGAGCGGGAACAACGAGAGTTAGCGAAGTCAAAATTGTCTAGCGAATGTTTTTCAGAACACAATGAAATACAATACGATGAATCTAATTCAGGGTCCAATTCTAGCGACAGTTTTTCCCAGGTGAAAACGTAGTGACAAAAACTTTAGTTTTATTTTTTTCCAGACAAAGACATTGTTTTACATAATTAGTTTTAAAAGACACAATGTTATCTTAGTCTATTTTGATCTTTATCTTGTTCTTTTTTTTTAAATCTTGTTTTAAACAGAATGAAATCAAGAACTATTGGCGTTCTGCTGATGACGTAAGGAAAGCAAAAGATGACGTAAACGGTCACAAAGACAAAGCAACTAAGTCACGACGTAAAACAAGGTCTTCAACTCATCACCCTACATTATGCAAGGATTGTGCACAATCTAATAAATGTAACTTACAGAAGGTAATACATAACTTATGGTTATAATGGCTTTATTTTATAACCAAATCTAACATACATAATATTTAAGACCTTACATGTTATGTAATTATTACTACTAAACACGGACCTCATTTCAACAAATTAGTAGATTTCACTTTGGAAGTTACTGATAGGGATATTCAAATAAAAATCTTAGCTAATTAATTCAACATCTTTTAATATGATGAGTTTCTGTAAAGTAATTTCTGATTCTTTCAATAGTTTCTATTGTAAATAATTCCAATGTGTTTAGTCTTTCTATTACAGTCTTTGAATCCTTAATAGTCATATTAAACTACTTAAAGAATTTGTTTTGTATTTAGAATGATTTTTAACTATAGACATAAGATTAAGATTTTTGTATATTTAATATTTGCCTGACTCGCGTTTACCAAGTATTTGTTTATAAATATCTGCTTAATTCAATGTGTGTCAAGTATAATAATTACTTTTTTATATTTACTAACTTGACACAACGCTGAATATTACATAAACCTTTCCAAATATATTAATAAATATGTTATGTTTATAATTTTTATTTTATTTTAGGAATCTAAAATGTTAGCTAACAATACGGCTACTACAGAAAACATTACAATAGTACCGATGATAACTCATACTGCAGCTACACCTCAAGATTCGCCATCGACTACCTTGGAACCTGGCGCATCTTTCAGAGACTTTAATATGTCACTGAGTCTTGAAAAGTCTTCAATGCTATCGAGTTTAGATTCAATTGATCGGACTTCTGTAAGTTTCTTTTTAGATATATTTTCAATATGGGTATTTATCTAAAACGTTAATTTTAAAACCAGTGTCAATATCAAATTGGCAGATATAAAATATTGCAAAATAAAATAGTGAAGTTGAGTAAAATTGATATTTTATTCGAAATGGAATGGATGTGTACGTTTTTGTTTGTAAAATGTATATTAATTAATATCAAAATTATTTTGTGTAATTATAATTATTTATAATGTTTGATCAATTTAAATTTTTCTGTATTGCCACTACTATATTCAATTCTCACCGCTTGATACGTTGACTGGTAAAGAATGCCTAAAGGCATTAATTCCATCCTTTGTATTCTTTTGTAATAAGCAATGCAATAGAGAATAAATGCTTATATAAAAATATACTAAAAAATTACCATGGTGTCCAAGCTCTTATTATAAACGTTGCTGATTTTTGTTTGTGATAATGTGTTATTTTTTTATTTCAGTGCACAAGTATTCCAGGTTTACTAAAGCCACCAAACAGTTATACGTTAACCTTGCATTCTGCTGCTGCTCAATTAGGCGCTGAGAAAGCTCGCTTACCTCCAATGACCCTAGCACCGCCTCCTTTAACGTTGGCTCCACCTCCAACAAGGGTAACATCACCAGCTTCTGCATTACCGACTACACCAAGGTCATTGCCGTCTCCCATGCTCCCTGAAAAAAATCTTCAGGTCACAATTGCGAAGGAAGACAATTGTCTCAACATCAGCGATAAATCAAGTCTGCTGAGCTCACAAAGGTAAATAAATTATTAGAATTATTGGAATTACAAATTAGTATTTAAAATCTAAAAATACAAAACATGTTATTACAGAAGTCTTGCTATAGCTAGTCCTGCCGTTAATGGGGAAGATAAATGTAGAGTTCAAAGAGGATACAGTTGGCGACTATCGCGACCCAGTCTCCGACGCAAAAAGCAAAGGACAGGCTCTGATTCTGACGCTGTGATACTCAATAACGGTCGTGATCATGCGTCTTGTAATGGTAAGACAGAACTCATACTTGAAATGCAATTTTTCTTTTACTGGTCTGCGTAACAAAATTATATTAATAATAAAAAGAAAACAAGAAGTGATTACTTAAAAAAGTGCGAACTTGGTAAATTTTTCTTCAGTAAGAAATTAATAAATTTCTTCTAGGTTCATTTTTCCTTAGTAGCCCCTAAATTTCAACATCTGAGCGTGAGCATTTTTAACAATTTTCAATGATATCAACGTATGATTGGCAAATCAACAAGCACTTTTGACTCTGCACCTCGTAACTGCTGACATAGTTTGGTGTAGAGTGCACTACGCAGTCATCTCGTATGTGCCAGCTATTAATCAATAATTAATAAAATGTTGTCTCCTTCACGAAGTAATTTAACTGGAAAACTATACAATAGATACTCAAATTTTTACAATACGTAATATTTCATATATTTATGCGATTACCACTCATTGATTAAAACTACGGATTTTATCGCGTTCAATTTATACTCGTATGATTTTTAATTTCCGACGTTTCGGGTACTTTCCAGCATTCATGTTCATGAAGAACTAAGGTTATTGCCGTCCCAATGTCAGTGTTAATCCGAAGTACCTTCAGTTTTTGCACGCCTCATAAGCGAAGCATTGAAGTTGTGCTCTACTCTCACATAATGGAAATCTAGTAATTTTCTGAGCTAAAAATGTTTTAATTTTTTTTTACTATTGCACTTTTAGAATAATAAAAATACACACATATTGCGAAAAATCACTCGTTTTCTTGTTTCTATTATTTTTAAAAGTATTTTTCTGTATTTAGTTTAAAAACAAACTGATTGAAATAAAAAAAATTCGAGGGTATCCGGATGTCTCTAAGTGTGGATGGCGCACGATTACGGTCGTTACAATTAAAGTATCAAAATAATTCTTCTTTTTTTAGGTTTAGAATCTCAACGCACAGGTTCCTTTTAAAAATCACAGAGTAGTTTGGTCTTTTTTAATTCTAATTAATGAAAAGGTTAAAAACAACTCGTACTTTCTACAAAAAAATATTCTCATGGATTTCTACTTTCGTCTCAAATATGAAAAAAGAAACATTTTTCTTTTTATATAATCAAATAAGATTATAAGGCGTGCGCTTTTGGATTTTTCAAACTTTTTTTTAATTATTATTTATGGTCCGATCTATGCAGAATGAACTTACTGTGTCTTAAAGGCTTGCAGTGGTGCTTGGGTTTAGTTTTAATTTTATTAATGACACGGTCCCAAGCAGATGGTAGTAACCCAGCTTCCTTCTCTATTGAAATTAGGATGTTTCTTTTTAATTTCAATGGTCTCACGGATCATCCTTGGTAGGAATCGATGTTTTTACACGAGGATTTGTGGTCTATCAAATCTGATGTAATGATTGGGGCCGTCTAGATGTGAACACAAACTGCAGACTTTCCGGAACGTGGATGCTTCACGTAAGCTATGTGTTCTATTGTGCGGGTTCTAATTGAACTTTTCGTTTGCCCAATATATGAGAGACCACATTCACAATTGAGCTTGTACACTCCTGCATCTTGTAGAGGACTATGACACTTGACGGGTGGTCAGAACTGAGAAATCATCTTCGGCCGCTTGTAAAATGTTCTAATAGAAGCTCACTTCAAGATGTAGCCAATATTGTCTGTAACACCTCTGACATATGGTAGTACAGCAGGCACACGTTCAACTGTGGCCGGCTTCACGGTTAGGTACCGTGGGCAAATCTTTGTCACTATAATGATTAAAAAGCTAAAGGTACTCTTGGTTAACACTGATATCGGGACGTTGGTCACCTCAGTTTCAAGTGACCATGGGTGCTGGAAAGCATCCGAAACTTCAGAAATTAAAAATCGTATAAATTAAACGCGATAAAATCTGTAAAAGCAGTTTTCATCAATTTGTACAATACGTTTTAAAATATAACTATTTGTTAATATTGTGTTTAACAGGTTCAAATGTACGCAAAAACGAACTTCTTCTGTCATCCTCAATGGTAATCAAAAACGATACGCAATCAGAGTTGCCCAATAATCGTGCAAAGTCTCAATTGCCAGCTCCTAGAGTACTTGCTCAACCAGCTAGAAGAGTATCAGCTCATACAACACCTTTACTTCCAGATGTAAGTCTTTTGTAAACAAACATTTAGATTGATGTGATATTTTTCATATAAAGTAGATTTTCCACACTGAATCCCCAAATAAATAAAATCTTAAAAACGTAATTCAATTATCGTTATCTTCCCAAAATAATAGTAATCATTTAGTAATTGTAGGCGTACGAAATGGAATACGGCACCTTTTTTCCCAAAGCCAGCCTCACCTCTGCTCTGCCGTTTTATGAACGAGGCTCTGGTGACCGACTGATAGTCGAAAAGTCATAAAAAAATACCAAAATTATATCTCACAGAGTATTGATCTTTATTGACAGAGTGACGATCTGAACTTCGTGCTCGCCTACTTTGTGGCAAGATTATATTATTTTGTGACAATACTATATATATTATGCATATCTCCAGGGTAAGCTGACTAACTGGCACATTACTATTAAGGCTTGAACCCATCGCCTTACATGTAAAGGTGTTTATTACTGTGCAAACGAGCGTGCGACTCACCTAATGGTTCATTTCCAGCTTTTTAAAAAAATGTAGGTTATATTTCTAAAAATTTCTAAGTCGTATTGGTCCAGAAGAGTCGCTGGTCGTAGCTGATTCCACAAAGAAATCTTACTAGGATGAGTATTTCCGATAAATTGCGGTTTCGTCGTAATATGCGATGATGAAATTTGGCGGTTAAAATTATTCCAAACAATTCCTCTGATCACGCCCCATGGTAGATGCGATAGAATACGCAATGAACTGCAACATCTTATCGCAGCATAAAGGTACGCGTACAGTGGCCCGCGCTGGACGCATCGCACGCACGGCACGCAACGGATTTAACGGATTTTCCGATAACATGCGTCCACTGTATCCGGATTTATAATTTAGTTTCGAGTATTTTCTTGTCGTGAGTTGACGTATTGATAATGATTGATGAAGATATTATTATTATTAGCTGCTCGTTGGAAGGTGAAGAAGAACGTAAAACTAAACGTAGAATGTGGGTTCATGATTATGTAATATTATTATTTATATCTTTTTATGATATTACGTAGTGTACTTATTTATATTATTTTTTTATTTATCTTAGTATTAATATTTTCCGAAATAAATGCCGTCAAAATTTATGGTCCTCACATGAACTCTATCCATTTGATAAGAAGGTGCCACGTGAGGGCACCAGGAAACGATGCAGATACTGCAGTATACGTAAGACTAAACCCACGGAGATCGTGTGTAAAATATTATTTCTGCTCTATACAGGACATTGTTTCCATAATTATCCCTAATAATATAAAAATATATATTTTTCTAGGTTCAAACGTTGTTTATATTATAATATCAGTGTATAATTTACTACAATATAGTCTAACCCTTAATAGCTGTTCCGGATATTGGTAACATATGGACCAAAATATTTTTATTCAATGGGCAGTGGTCATATAGAGACCACAGGGTTTTTTTTTCAGGAATAGGCAAACAGAATATAAACATAGTGTTGTTATTTTTATATTCTACCAAACTCAACACTCAAAAGAAAAACGACACGTACGACTGACTGATTTGTATGACGTCACCGATACGGAACGTATAATTTTCTCATAAATGCCGGCGTTCCGTGCAGGCGGCGTGGATAATGGACGCAGCGCCATGTGAAATCTTACAAATCAAACTAAAACTCAGACGTCTACGATTTCCAATTAGGCCGTATGATTTTGGGTTTTTATCTTATTTATCATTATTAATATACATAATTCTACAAAAATATTACACTATTATTAATATTAATAATTATGTAAATTGGAGATTACAAGATATTTGTACATTGCAATTTGGTAACATTAACTTAATATATTTATTATATGTCAGAATATATAAATAAATACTTATAGAGACAATGATATGTATTTATTTATTAATTTTAATGTTATCTGTAACAGGTGTCATGGAAAGCACCCGAAGCTGAATTTTCATCTGAATCAACTGTAAGACTTGAGACAGTGAAGCCCCCACCTCATAGACTTTCTCTCACTAACGACTGTTTAACAGGTAAGAAGACTTGATTTCAAATTGACAGGGACTTTAAAATGAAATTAACAAATTTTAATAACTCAACTTGAAAGTAACAAAATGATTATTTATTATAAAAATATATCTATGCATGTAAATAAAATTGTACTGACACTGGGTTATTGGCTATATTTTCTCACGAACAGATTAAGAGCAATACAAGTAATCTATATTATATTTTATACAAAACACATGCAAATTTTTTTAAATCGAAAAATCAATAAAATTATATCTTATTCTAATTATCTCATACGCTCAATGCGATCAAAAGTTTCAAACTGACTGTTTAAGGAAAAAGTAATAATATCCGTTTACGTGACACTAATAGCTCTGCAATTTTTATTGCAAGTATTTTTCGATATCTAAAAAACTGAGTTAAAGTAGTTTTTCGATAGTTGAACTACTTACTTAGAGATCACTATTATAGATTTTTAAAATGCAAGTGTTCTAGGCGGATGAAGTCGCGGATAAAAGCTTTACATAATAAACTTGATGAATTTATGTATTTATTATAGACTGCTGATTATCAATTTCACTTAGAATTCGGAGACAAAATATTTATATAGAAGTTCACAAAAAAAACTTAAATTATTTCGTATTTTCTCCATAAGTTCAATAAAATTCAATAAAGTTTGTTTTTCAAAAATACTAATCTTATGTCAGCATTTTTTTAATTTATATAAAACTACACTAAAATTTTTTGCTAGTGGAGGTAGTATGCATATTATATTATACAGGGATAAACATCCAGACCCAGAACAATTTTTTTTTACTTGTGGGCCATATAAATGCTTGTTCCGTGTGGGATTCGAACCCGTGGCCCTCAAAGCTACAATTCCTTGCTATGTCACAGCACCGAGGAGCCGCATACTATCAAAACGAATTAAACAACAATCTGTAAAATTAAAAAGAAATTGAACAACTGTCAAAATTCAGAAACTTTTTTAATACTATCCTGTTATTTTTGTAGTAACAACAGTTGCAGAAGTGAAAGCAAGTAACTTGACGCCACCATCTAGCCAACTATCGCAAATACCAATAAGACCTCCTCGGAAAGAAACAGCTTCTTTACCGACTAAACCCAACAATCAATCTCTGACACTCATTAAACAGATCAATGAAGAGGTAATTGAATATTATAATTTTTAAAATAATATTTATTTGAAACTGAATTTTATATTGAAGGGAGCAATTCCCAAAATTGCATTAAATATAAAAAGAAATTACCTGCATTTTCGTCAGCGTTATCCATCTTACCATTTCGCCCGGTCAAGCGAGGAATTCAACTCGACTGACCAGAATTCGGGAGATAACGACACATTATTTCGTTAAGTAAACCTTAAAATTTTAAAACAAGTGTATAACTAGTGCCTGTTACCAGTGATGGCATATGAATCTGAGTCATGGTTCTTCACTGCTGGCCGCATGAGGATGCTCAAGTTCGTCTAGCGAGCTATGGAGAGGGCTAAGGTCGAAGTTTCTATACATGATACACTTCTTAATGAGTACATCCGCAATATAACTAGAGTAGCCGATATAGGCTAACGGATCAGTAAGCTGAAATAACAATGGGACGCCAAATAAGAAATTTCAAGAAAGAGTTACAGCCCCATACCAGTGAGCGAAATGTAAGGCGACCCACAAAACGTGACTCAGGGCCTTGCTTTGAGCATTATTTGGGAGATGCTTATTTTCAACAGTAGAATTGTTATGGGATTTAACAATGATGATGATGATAATGATGATGATTTTGTTCGTCACACGGGATAGAAATATGATATAATGAGAAGTAACGCCAAAGATGTTACACGTTCAGTACCAGCACTGCGGCCACCAATTCGCCTAGCAAGCGTGGTGATATAGGCAAGGCCTCACGTCTAACAGTGGCCTATTACGAGATGATGAAGAACGGAAAAAATAGAAAAAAAGAAAGATTAATGTTGTTGTTTGTATTTTTATAATAAATTAATCCTTAAAATTTGAAGATACGGTCTTAATATTATAGATATTTATATAAACATTCCATTTATCAGCAAAATGCTACTAACCAAAGATTTTATTTAGCTTTCTTAAACATCGCAAAGAAGACATTTTTCAAACTCAATTAAATTTAAATATAAATAAATTTTATTTTTTAGGTTGCCATTAATAACAATGTCTGCATATTTTCATTTCGATTTAATAGACATCAATACCGATTCAAAGATCTTTTTCGGTTTATGGAGCCTACTGGATGTCTCAAGGAAAAAGAGGATTATTCTCTTTATATATTTGCTCCCGATAACAAGTAAGCTTTATCGTTTCCTTTACAATGTGATTAATTTCAATGTATTTTATATGTTACGGCTAAAATCCGAAGTGCAGATCTAGGTTCAACTGACTACACATATTTACAGTCGATTGCGTTTGATTAAATTTATAGGTAATAACGCAAGAAACCCAGTTTCATTATGGGACGTATGTAGGCTGCTACTAAAAATAGTAAACAAATAAAAAATTAAAACTTTACAATCAGTAATCGTAAAGGTGGAAGCTATCACGAAATGATGAGGGGCATACTAAACCATAAACGTTAATTTGTTGGAGCTACGTCTAATGCTAAGCCCCAAAAACATTGAGCTTTTATTATTTCTATGTTTATAATAGTGCAATACAGTAGAAGATATAAACGAAAGAAAAACGCCGCAGAAAAACCCAAATAATCTCTGATCACACTAATAATCTCAAGGCTGTTAGACGGGAAATGAAGTTGCGTTGTCTTTAACAGATATGATAGCGTACAGGCATATGAATACAGATGATCTTAGGAACGTACGTAACGAGACGTAGTTTTAATACAGCTTATATGGAAGAAGGGACTGAGCGCAAGCAAAGCTCCAAGTCTTTTGACAAATATTTGTCAAAAGTTGATTTTTTATTGTTTGTGAAAAGAGCCACCTATCTAAGTTAAAGGTCGACTGTAGCAGCGTAATTTCCGGGCAACTGTAGTGGTCTTACCCTTCAAAAAAAACAATAACTTCTTTTTGAAGAAACTCAGACCGATTTCTTTTTCAACGACAACAACATGTTGTTTTTGAAAGCCACTACTAAACGTCTCGCACGTAAATTTCCCTGCACTAGATGAAATGTCGATGTGGTAAGACATGGCATCAGGTAGCAGGTAATTTAGTATCGCGTTCTTTAATATTCCTTGTTCTGTAATTATCTTTGTTTAGTTTATGAAGGGCTGTAAAGATGATGATTCTTACTTTCATTCTATTGTGATAGTAGATACTTTCTAAAGAACAAATTTCTAATTAAACTGTATCCCATCCAACCCACGCGACCAATTTCCTTTAGAATCATTGCGAAACCAAGGGCTATCTATGTACCACCATAACTGCGAGTGGAAAATAACAACTATAGTACGTGAGGGTAATATGGTCATCTGGTTAATACGGTTACTTTCTTATAACTCAAAAACTAGAAGGAGCTTTATGATAGGATAACTCTTCATCATTCAATCAAATAATACTCGTAAAGAGTCAAAAGGGCGCTGCTTTATCGGTGCCATTTGAACAGATGATATTTATAGTAAACTAGCTTGCCAGGCAGACGTTGTTCTGCCCCTTTCGACGACACTTTGTCATGTCCTATTATAAATCCTTAAATTAGCAAAAAAAATGTGGGTCACTCATGGGCAAAAAAAACTATCCTATCTCTCAAGTAGGACTAAACTGCACACGGTATATAAATTTGATTGAAATCGGTTAAGTAGTTTATTAGTCCATCGCGGATAAATAATGTGACACGTAATTTATATATATTAAGATAATTTAGTCGATTTTAGTATTGTGTAATGTAGTTAGTTTTTTCAAGTTGATTATTCGAAGTGTTCCTAATTATTGCCAAAGCTTGTTTCCAGTATTTTTAGTATATTAGTTATAATATACGACTCCAAGATTTGGTGTTATAGGACGGCAAAGCTTAAGGTATATTACCCTCACGTACCTTAGTTCAGGAGAAACCGATTTACTTAAATATTTATTGTGGTTACTTGAATAGGATAAAGTGATTGAATGTTTTTTTCAGTATCAGAAGATTCTGCACATGGATAGTAACAAGAAGCTGGTTTGATAATATTGTCCTTCTGTTCATTGCACTTAATTGCATTACGCTTGCAATGGAACGACCAAATATACCACCTGATTCAAAAGAAAGAGCTTTTCTCTCGAGTGCTAACTACGTCTTTACTGGTGTTTTCGCTATTGAAATGCTCGTAAAGGTATTTTAACATCGATTATTTATAATGTTATAGGAAAATGTAACCTTAACATTTTAAAACCACTTACAATTGTTATGTTTGTAGGTCGTGGCATCTGGAATGTTCTATGGGCCCGAAGCGTACTTTACTTCCGGATGGAATATCATGGACGGCTCTCTTGTTATTATATCTATAATTGATTTATTGATGTCGTTAGTGTCTGAATCTAGTCCTCGAATTTTCGGCATCCTGAGGGTAAACTTTAATAATAATTTAATATTTATAATCATGGAAAGTTATCCCGCATTTCATTAACTCAAGCAAAATATTTTTAGGTTTTCCGGTTGTTAAGATCATTGAGACCATTAAGAGTAATAAATAGAGCACCAGGACTAAAATTAGTCGTTCAAACGCTATTGTCTTCTTTAAGACCAATTGGAAATATCGTACTCATTTGCTGTACATTTTTCATCATATTTGGAATATTGGGAGTACAGGTAAATAAAAAGTATTTAATAATTAATTGATAAAAGATCTTTCCTTATTAATTGTTTAAAATAAATACTTATTCAATTCACATTACACATCATTTTCCAATGCAGAATATAGGTCTCCCCATAGAATGCCTCATAGTGGGGTTTACCATAGTTGCCAAGTTTGGCAAGCGGGTTTGCCAAAGACGCTGCTGCCCATCTCTTGGTTTGTTTCCCTCAATCTCAATTTAAATTATTACGTTTAATGTATTTGCCTTCGTACATATATAACATGTAACAAAAACCCTGTGGTTCCCGTTAATTGCGTTATTAGAATCAGTATCCAAGCGTATAGAAATAATTTTTCAAAAAAAAAACATTTCAAAATAAAATTTATTGAAAAAAAAATAATTTGCAAATTTTTTGTGCTTTTATTATCTCTGCATTGGCCGAGGAGTAAGAGGATTGTCAAAGACCCCGCAGTACCGATACTCGTGTGTATTAGATGAAATAAAACCACATACAATTTGCATTGTTTTTTTCATTAAAATTATTTTTAATGCCGTGTAGTGGCGGTTGAGAATATCCACTACCCCATATCTTCCCGTGGGTATCGTAAGAGGCGACAGAGGGACACTTTCTGTGTCCCTCTGTCGCCGTTCATCCTTCTGCCGCCGGAGATGGCAGCATCGTTTCCGGGACACCTGAGATTTTGAGTGAGATTGAGAGGTTCTATGGGCAGCTGTACACATCATCGTTGGAGCCACACGCAAGTGTGAGTAACGCTCCAAGAGCAAGTCTTACCCGACACTATTCCGATGATATACCGGACGTCAGTCTGAGCGAGATTAGAATGGCTCTCCAGCACCTTAAAAACGGCAGGGCCCCAGGCGAGGATGGAATTACAGCGGAGCTTCTGAAAGCGGGTGGAACACCGGTACTTGAAGTCCTTCAGAAGCTCTTCAATTCTGTCCTCCATGGTGGCACTACTCCGGAGGCGTGGAGCAGAAGTGCGGTGGTCTTGTTCTTTCAGAAAGGCGACAACGCTCTCTTGAAGAACTACAGACCGATTTCCCTTCTGAGCCGCGTCTACGTGCTGTTTTCGAGAGTCATTACGAATCGTCTCGCACGCAGACTCGACGACTTCCAGCCTCCCGAACAAGCCGGTTTCCGAAAAGGATTCAGTACAATAGACCACATACATACCCTGCGGCAGATTGTACAGAAGACCGAAGAGTACAATCTGCCACTTTGCCTGGCGTACGTGGACTATGAGAAAGCCTTTGATTCCGTCGAAATGTGGGCGGTGCTACAGTCCCTTCAGCGGTGCCAAGTTGACTGTCGGTATATCGAAGTGCTGAAGTATTTGTACAGTAGGGCTACGATGGCTATCCGAGTACAGAACCAGAGTACGAAACCTATCCAACTGCAGAGAGGTGTAAGACAGGGTGACGTTATATCCCCGAAACTCTTCACCGCTGCGTTGGAAGACGTTTTCAAACTACTGGACTGGAAAGGATACGGTATTAACATCAATGGCGAGTACATCACTCACCTTCGATTTGCCGACGATATAGTACTTATGGCAGAATCGCTGGAGGACCTTAGCACTATGCTCAATGACCTCAATGGTGTCTCCCAACGGATAGGTCTTAAGATGAACATGGACAAAACAAAGATCGTGTTCAATGTCCATGTCACACCTATGCCGGTAGTTGTTGGGAGCACTATGCTCGAAGTTGTTGACGAATACGTTTACCTGGGACAAATAGTCCGACTAGGTAAGTCCAACTTCGACCGAGAGGTCAATCGACGGATTCAACTCGGCTGGGCAGCGTTCGGGAAATTACGACACATCTTCTCGTCAGGTATACCTCAATCTCTAAAAACTAAAGTGTACAACCAGTGCGTGTTGCCAGTGATGACTTACGGATCAGAGACGTGGTCCTTCACTTCTGGCCGTATGAGGATGCTCAAGGTCGCTCAGCGAGCTATGGAGAGGGCTATGCTCGGAGTTTCTCTGCGTGATAGACTCAGAAATGAAGATATCCGCAGTAAAACCAGAGTGACCGACATAGCCCAACGGATTAGTAAGCTGAAGTGGCAATGGGCCGGCCATATAGCTCGAAGAACCGATAACCGATGGGGAAGAAAGGTTCTCGAGTGGCAGCCTCGTACCGGTAGGCGTAGTGTAGGGCGACCCCCCCCCCACTAGATGGAGTGACGACCTGGTAAGACATGCAGGAAGTCGATGGATGCAGGTGGCTCAGGACCGTGCTTTGTGGCGTTACTTGGGGGAGGCCTATGTTCAGCAGTGGACTTATGAAGGGCTGTAATGATGATGATGATGATATTTTTTTAATGTTTTTTTGAAAAAAAAAATTATTTCTATATGTTTGGATACTGATTCTGATAACACATTTAACGGGAACCACAGGGTTTTTGTTACATACTGTATATCGTTACCGTTATGTTTGAGCATATACATATGAAAATAAATGTTTTTAAAAATTAAATAATGTTCTTAATTTAAAACTTACTTATGAATATAATAAAAATGTTGCTAAAAGTTATCCATAAATAATTAAAATATGAAAGAGTTTATTATATCACTAAGTTTGTTATATCAGTAGGTAATACATATTTTGTAATATCAGTGAATGTGATTTAACGGAATTTTAGTGATATCTATATAAAATATATAGCCAGATGACTCGACTAGAACTAAAACTTCTTTTATTATCTTTTTAATCATATAATACTAAATTAAATTTAAATAATTTTCAGTTGTTTAAGGGAGCTTTTTATTATTGCGAAGGAGCTAATATCAAAAATGTTAAAAATAAGACAGATTGCTTGGCTATTGAAGGAAATGTGTGGGTCAATAGAAAATACAATTTCGATGATTTGGGAAAAGCTTTAATGTCACTTTTTGTGTTGAGCTCAAGAGATGGCTGGGTTAATATAATGTACACTGGACTAGATGCTGTTGGAGTTGATCAACAGGTATATTTTTTCCATTGCATTTGGTACAAAATATTGATTTACTATTTACATAATTTCTTATTTATTTGCAGCCGATAGTGAATTATTCAGAGTGGCGCTTACTTTATTTCATAGCATTTATACTGCTCGTGGGTTTCTTTGTACTAAACATGTTCGTGGGCGTAGTAGTTGAAAATTTTCACAGATGTCGCGAAGAGCAAGAAAAAGAAGAAAGAGTTAGAAGGGCGGCTAAACGGGCACTGCAAATGGAGAAAAAGCGACGTAGTAATTATCTTTAAAGTTATTATTTACTCATTTCATATTTATATTAAATCATGAATCTGATTTCTTATTTAAACATTATTTTTCAGAAATGCATCAGAGACCTTATTATTCGGATTATGGTCATAATCGACTCTTTGTTCATAACGTTGTAACATCAAAATATTTCGATTTAGCGATTGCAGGTGTTATTGGGTTAAACGTAGTTACAATGGCCATTGAATATTATAGAATGCCCCCGGCTTTGGAATATGCACTAAAAATTTTTAATTACTTTTTTACTGCCGTTTTTATACTTGAGGCGGTAATGAAGCTAGTTGCACTGGGGATAAAAATTTATCTAAAAGACAAATGGAATCAACTTGATGTCATAATAGTAATTTTATCCATTGTTGGTATAGTCTTAGAAGAACTCGAAACGAATATTATACCAATAAATCCTACTATAATGAGGGTTATGAGAGTATTACGAATTGCAAGAGTATTAAAATTGCTGAAAATGGCAAAAGGTATTAGAGCGTTATTAGATACAGTTATGCAGGCTTTACCGCAAGTTGGAAACTTGGGGCTTCTTTTTTTTCTGTTATTTTTTATATTTGCCGCATTGGGTGTTGAACTATTTGGGCGTCTAGAATGTTCTGATGACATTCCATGTCAAGGTGAGAATTAGTTGTTCTTTTTTAATGAAAGTATTTTAATACAACTATTTAAGAAAGTTAAAACTAAGTACAATTTGTTTTCAGGGCTTGGAGAACATGCCCATTTTGCCAACTTTGGAATGGCGTTTTTAACGCTCTTTAGGGTGGCAACTGGGGATAACTGGAATGGTATTATGAAAGATACACTCAGAGAAGATTGTGATAGTTCTGTAGATTGTGTACGCAATTGTTGTGTTTCAACTATTATAGCCCCAATATTTTTTGTTGTGTTTGTTCTAATGGCTCAATTCGTGCTCGTGAACGTGGTCGTTGCGGTAAGTTCATTATTTCGACTACATTTCATAGTTATATATTTTCTCACTTAAACTCCATTTTCTTATACATGCATCATAGGTTGAATAGCATATAGAAAATACGCTCCCTTTTTATGTATTTTACAAAACATAAAAAAGTATACTAACAATACGTTTTTTCTGTTATATGGCAGAGGGTTCTTAAACTCCCTTAGCGAGCTATGCTTAAATTTTTCAGCGTGATAGAAATTGTGACGATAATATCTGCAGTAGAGTCAGAGTAGTTGATATAGCCTAACTATGCAGCCACCTATTTTAATACAGCTTGAAGAACCAATCAACTACCTAAAATTTTACAAATGATATTCTCATACCCACAAGTGCAAAGTAGTGTAGGACTTCTCTACACTTGCTAGTATGAGGGTAGTAGGCACTGTGCTAACTAGACACCTAATACCAGACCGTCAATTTATGAAAGTAGTTTAGGACCATGCGTTGTTGCAAGGCTTTGGGGTAGGCTTATATTTAGCTGTTGGACAATGGATCTTATTTTTTGCATTCAATTTCCTACTGAAGTGGTTGAATTGAAGATAAACTAAAATTGTTACTGATTTATGTTTAGTTTTCAAAACCTGACCTATTTTAGTAGCCTTAAGGTAAATTGTAATAATCATAAAATAAATTACTTAAACATTTTTTCATTAGGTGCTCATGAAACACCTTGAAGAATCACATAAACAAATGGAAGATGAAATAGATATGGATGTCGAACTTGAAAGAGAACTTGAACGGGAAGCTGATGATGAAGAAGATCGAGCCCTGTGCCGAGCATTAGAGCAATGTACTTCCCCGCTAAACCCTTTAAATAAAGTACCATCATTACCTGCGAATTTCACATACAGTGAACCTAAACAACAACCGACACCATCTCCCGTACGACGTCGTCGCACGTTGCACTCACATCATGCCTTATTGCCATCGCCGTTGCCATTACCTCAAAGAAGAGCATCATTGTCTCCCCATGCATTTGGACGACGTCGCCAAGAGTCTACGTCTGATACCCGGGCTGCTTTATATGAAGAGGATGCTCGTTTTATTGATGCTGATGACATCGAAGAATTGGAACCTGGAAGTCCACCTAGAAGAGATTCATTTGCAAATAATAGGCGACAACGAATTGACAAAAGAAATTCTTTACGTGGTGAGGAAGCAAGGTTATTAAAACCTACACCTGTTTTACTAGCTGTTCCTTCAACGCGGCAAAGTGTAAGGCTTACCGGGTCAAAAAAGAGACCTTCAGTTGAATCTGCTGCAAGTTACATTAGTCGAGGTTCATTACGGTCCCACTTTACACCAGAACCAGTCGAGCAACAAATAAGCGAAGAAGAAAGTATAAGGATTGTTATCGCAGAACGGCGAAAAATAGACACAGCAAGACCAGATGTAAATGATACAGTTGAATTAACAGAATGCGGGTCCTAGTCCAGGCAGGGCCGGCCGCAACAACATCACGAAGTTTACATCTAGATGAAATAAATTATCTAGAAATTCCCTAATTTCCACTCTATGAATCATCGTGTTCCGAATCGACTGAAAAAAGAAAAAAGAATTTTGAAACCGATTGCACAATTGTGAAGACAAAAATATTGAGAAACTGGCATTCTATTCGAGGGTCTTCCCTTGTTACAACCGGCAGTGATGGATACAGTGAATGTGCTTAGAAAGTTTGAAAAGAAACGGGATTTTTTTTATCCTTTCATCTGTACTGTTTTTTTTTTCTTAATTCATAAATGCGGCCGGTTTAACAACTTCACAGACTTTAATAATTTTAAGTTAGACTGAAGAGTTATTCAGTATAAGCATTAGGATTAGTCAATTTGTTGTGGTGAAACATTTTCTACGAGAGCTGAAAACTATTAGGTACTTTTAGTCAATAATTAGTACGGTGCTTGCTGTTAACATGTTGACCGTTATAGTAATATAATGTATTGTACAAAATATTCTCATGAAACTTCAACGAAACAATTCGTCGATTGTGTGATGACTCTTATTTAAAAAAAAATGTGTAGTAGTCGTATCTATTCAGTCAATTGAAGTTAAATAAAATTTTAAAGTAAAGATTTCAAATCATTGAAGTTTAACATTAGACATTTCAAATATTGAAATAGGTCCTAATCAGGTCTTTTAATATTCATTAAATCATGACATGCCTACAGTTTTCAGGTACTTATATTTACAACCCGTCAGAGACATAAGTGGACCTGTCAAATGAAGTCGAGTCTGTCTGAGTTTGGTACTTATAGGCGAACATTGTGCGAAGTGCGGGTCATGGTAGGGGAATCCGCATTTCAACGAGTTCCGTAGATATTTCCGACGAGTTGTATATTTGTTCAATAGAATTAATTTATATAATATAATAAATGAACAAGTCATTATTTAAACACAAACCTCTTTAAACACTAAAATCAATATTTTTCTGAACATAAATAAATCCTATTTTCATATTTACATACATTGTATTGGATAAGATCTTCAACTTTCAATACGCACAGAAATTTAGACAGTAGATTACATAGATTTGTGAACACATAAAATTCTGATTGGATATCACAAATTATAATTTATAAGAGAAAATCTACAACATTCACATGTTATTTTGTTGTTTAGTGTTATATTTAGACGTGCCAAAATTAAATGTAATTACTAATTATAATGTTTTCTAAAATTATTAACGTTTATATCCATATTGGAATTGACATTTATAAACTTCTTACCTTACACTATTCTGCATTTTATTTTGGCCAATAGAACCTCATAAAAATAATTCCTGTAAAATCATATTTCTGTACGTTTATGCACCTCTCACAGTTCAGATATGGAGATGAAACGTATTTAGTTAGGGAAGTCAGCAATAAATTTTATACTTCGACTGTGCCTTTCCTATTTCTAACGTATTAGCTTGTGATTAATTGTCAATAGATTTTGAATTTAATGTATACTATTTTAGGAAATGAAGGGTCGGCGTGTTTGTTAAAATCTCTCATATAAGTAGCTTATTTTAGGGATACCCGTTATCAAATGTTAAAATTCAAAAACAAGTAATTTTCTACTTTGGTTTTTGTTAATTTTTAATAGCACTTATGCGATCTGTGCATTCTAAAATTTTCGTGGTTTTTATATAATGTATTAAGTCTTCCATTGGTCTTTCATTTCTTATTAATTGAAATAATGCTATACAGAAAAAAAACTACCGAGTGGGGCAGCATAAGACAATCCATTAAACCATATTTTCCCGTGAGTTTCGTAAGAGTAAACTGAAAATAGTACCAAAACTATGTAACTTATAGCGAAACAAAGAATTTCGTTCGACCCTAAAATATGGGGCAGCATCCGAGGTAAATGTCGTAGTAAATCCCTTCCCCTTCCCCTACTTTTCTCTATGGGAAAGGCCAATGTTTATGGATTATTGAATTACGTTTTTGGAATAAGATAAAAACAATTATATATATAAATAGTATAACTTAACTTCATTCTAAAAACTGTGTAAATGAATTAAGTATGTAATGGGAATTTAGTAAATATAAGAATAGTATTTTCGTGATAATCGCAAATTTCGTGATAAAGTTAAATAATTGTTTTTCGGTACTGACTCGTAAAATGTATGAACAATGTTCATTAGTTGAGTGCATCTGTTATATTTAGCGGGTAACGTCTCAAGTTACGAAGCTGTTAGGTTGAAAATTAAATTTAAATTTGAACTGGTGTTTTATTTTTGTAAACGGATACTTCTATTCTATAATTTTTATTTTTATAATTATTTATAGAATACTGAATTTATAAATTACAACTTATTAATTTTATACTGTGGCACTATCAAGCCACGCTGGAGCTATACAATGGTTGTAGCACGAGTGGTTCAGTTTGACTGGGAAAGGACTACTAGTGTAAAAAAAACAACTGCAGGATGTTGTGTTTCGTATGGTGAGTGTAAAGAAACGGTGACCCTTTTCACTGTAAACGGGGCATTTCATCTTAGCCCTTAGGGATGACAATAGCGATAATTCTTAATCGAGAATAAATGTAGATGTTCATGGACCACAGCATCGACTTACTATCAGGTGGACAGTGTGCTCGTTTGTCACGCTGATTCTATAAAAAAAAGTTAAGAACTAAATAAAAACACAACATTTTATTTTTATTCCTTATATTGCTTAAGGAAAAAAAGATTGAGTGTCATAGGATCGTATAAAAAATGCAAAGGCCATCCCGCAAAGCGTGGCAACTATGGTAAGTATCCCGCAACTGTGAGGTCTACGTTCAACAGTGGACTTTAATAGGCTGTAGTGAACGAAAAATTTTAATATCCGGTCGTAAAGTTCGTAAACAATCACAAAACTTATTTTAACATTGTATCGAGTCTCCTATCACTGGCTGCTAACAGGTGGAGCGAGGTAGGACAGAGCAGAGCAACTATAGCGTTTCTCTTTGATGAACATATTTTGACACATGTGGTCTCCTTTTCCGATTAGGAATCCATCTGGATAGGTACCACCATGTTGTCTATTTCTGCAGCAAAGCCTATAATGTATACCAGTTTAAAAGTTTTAGAAGGCGAGTTTAATGGTTGTGAAACATCTTAGTCCTCAGTGGTGTAAATGCGTCTGCCTATATCCTTCTTTATTTGAAGTTAGTAGTTGCATGTGCCACGGAGTGCAGTAGCCATTGACCAACAAGTAGACTGCAAGTTCATTTGTCACTTCTACTATATAAAATAACTAGCTGACACCCACTAGCTTCATTGGGTGCACGAGAATAGACGATAATGACGTAGACATAAAATATCAAGAATTTTTTTATGAGACTCGTAAAATCCGTTCTTAGTGAATTTGTGAATGAATATTACGAAATGAGTGACTATACTAGTCGGTCAGTGGTATTTCGCTTATATACAGAATGATTCTTTTACCGTCTGGAAAAAATAGTGTGTAACATGTGAGCGAAGTAGAAGCCTATGGCACTGATATATTACAAAAATTAAAAACAAAAAATTTGAATTAAATAAATAAATTGAAATCTATTGAAATTCAAATCATATCCACCATACTTTACGAACGGCAATAAAACAATAAATTTTGTAGGCATCTTTGACCTTGTCACTTCTACTCCGTTCACATCTTCATCATCATCATCATCGTTACAGCTCTTCACATGTCCACTGCTGAACATAGGCCTCCCCCAAGGTATGCCACAAAGCATGGTCCTAAGCCACCTGCATGTATCGACTTCCTGCATGTCTTACGAGGTCGTCACTCTATCTAGTGGGGGGTCGCCCTACACTTCGCCTACCAGTACGAGGCTGGCACTCGAGAACCATTTTTCCCCAACGGTTGTCGGTTCTTCGAGCTATATGGCCGGCCCATTGCCACTTCAGCTTACTAATCTGTTGGGCTATGTCGGTCACTCTGGTTCTACTGCAAATATCCTCATTTAGAAGTTTATCGCGCAGAGGAACCTCGACCATAGCCTTCTCCATAGCTCGCTGAGCGACTTTGAGCGTCCTCATAGGGCCAGCAGTGTCATCAGTCCTGATATGTAACCCTGTAGTGGCGTTTGAGAATAACTACTACCCCATATCTTACCCTAGGTGTCGTAGACGGTGACAGAGGGAGACAGACAGAGATGGATAGCAGCGTCTTCCTGAAAACAACAATTATACAATAAAAAAGCTGCGTTTGCCAACCCGCTCGCCAAGCGTGGCAACTATGGCAAACATCCCTCCATGAGCAACGTTAACATGTTACACCCTATTTTTCCAGTCGGTAAAAAAGGTCATCCAATATATAGATTAATAACTATAGCAAGTATAACAAGTGGACGATTATTTTATAACAGAACAATCTGATGGATCCCCATAACGTGTGATGTCGGCGTTGGCTGTTTAAAAGGGCCGCCCATACTCACATAAGCATCACACATTGCCTAGAGTGCGTGTCACACCATAATCGACGATACAGCTATTTATTCGTATCATGCCACGGCCCCTGAAAGTTCACTGTGCGACATTAGTCAATACTAACATAATGTCACACATGGCATGGCCTTTTATATTGTTTATAATGTACGTGTAGAGCATGGATTACCCTCGTATTTTTAGAGATGGCTGAAAATTTCGGACGCTGTGGCATAAGCGCGTATTTCATTGAGTGAAGAGAACCGGAAAGCGCGAGGATTCGATCTTGCCCACGGTGACAACGCATCTGCAATGTAATGAAATTGTTAATTTTTTATTGCTAGTTTATCATATACTCGAAAATGAAGGAAGACATTTTGAGGAAACCTACATGTCTGAGAAATGAAAATATTTCTGGATCATATGAAAACCGCCAACATGCAATGGAGTAGCGCCGCAGATTAACTGCTCAATCTTCTTTATCAGCCCTTGGAATTTCACAGCTGGACATGGACCTCTCACATTTTAGAGA